CTCTGTCTGTAAAGGGGGCCAAACTTTGGAGCTCTCTACCTGCTGACCTAAAACTAGAAACGGACAGTAAAGTTTTTAACAAAGAACTCAAAACATGGTTAAAGTCTAAACAACAATGTCTACATGAATAGTTTTAAACTCTTACATTGCTGCTCAAATGGCCTTTTTTTATCCTTTTTATTCTTTTTATTGAAAATTGTTTGCAATTTTAATCTGTTTTCTGTTTGATTCATGGTTGATCTCTCTGTATTTTATTTAAATGTACTCTACTCTTTAGAAAGGCTCTATGGACAAGTGTTGCAAATTAGCACGTGTGCTAACACACTAAACGATGCATCTGGTTCGTCCAGTGTAATTGCTGCGTCCACGTCAAATAAACGTCACATTCTCTCTGCAAACTAAAATTCAACAGTGGAGTGTGTAAATCGACTCGTTTAGAATAAGAATCATTCCTGTAATCGACTGATCATTGATCGACTCATTTTCCCTGCTAGCTCCGCTTCAGTGATAAATCTGACCCCACCAGCAGCATCCTGTTTAAACAGATGTTTACCTGCTCTGGAGGACCTCTACGTCTTTCAGGTTTCATTTACAATCAATCTGATGTGTTTCATCCGTCCTCCTCCCACCGTAAACACACAGCTCAGGTCACTTCCTCTCTGTGCACACACACACACACACACACGGAGCAAGCACTTGACATCAGTGCAGGAAGTTTTTAAAGTGAAGGCAAGAGAAGGGAGTTGGCTCTGGGTGACACTTTTCGTGACTCACATTACGGCTCATTTCTGATGACGACAGAATCTCAGAAAGTCCCAGGAGCCTGTTTAGAAATGCCAATCTTCTTTAATTCAATTCAATTCAAGTTTATTTATAAAGCGTCAAATCACGACAAGAGTCGTCTCAAGGCACTTCACATAATAAACATTTCAATTCAGGTCAGTTCATTAAGCCAATCAGAAATAATGTTTCCTATATAAGGAACCCAGCAAATTGCATGAAGTTACTGAGTAGTGTCAGTGACTATACAGCAATCCTCATACTAAGCAAGCATAAAGCGACAGTGGAGAGGAAAACTCCCTTTTAACAGGAAGAAACCTCCAGAGAATCCTGGCTCAGTATAAGCAGCCATCCTCCACGACTCACTGGGGATCGAGAAGACAGAACACACACACACACACACGCACACACACACACACACACGCACGCACACACACGCACACACACACACACACACACGCACGCACGCACACACATGCACGCACGCACGCACACACACACACACACACACACACACCAAGCAATGTGTCCATGGTTACACCGTGATTGCTTACTAAATATTCTATTTGGCGAGAGATGAACTTTATTGTATTTGTCCTAGTGAATCTATAATTAAACGGGTAAACTAGTAGTAGCACATCCAACGTCAAAGAAAGTAAAAAGTTATTATCAGGAGAGGGAGAAAGTTTAAGTGGTTAGCAGCAGTGTGCTAGACGATGGCCCCCTCCATGAGGCCACCACAGCTCAGCAGAACATCGTTGTAGCTTCTTCTGGGGAGAAAAACACTTAGAGAGAAAATAAAGTTAACAGCTGAAATAGCAGGAAATATTACAGTTAAAGAGCAGACTGTAGAAGAAAGTAGTAGAGTGTGAAAAGTGGTCAGTGTGTCCTCCAGCAGTCTAAGCCTATAGCAGCATAACTACAGAGATAACTCTGGACAACCTAGCCTTTTTAGATGGAGGCATGTTGGAGGCAGGGCAAGGGAGAGCCGTCTTTACCGACTGTACACTCCACCTCCCTCTACTCCCCCACTTGTCCAGTTCTAGGCTAACATCAGATTTTAACCATAGGCCCTATCAAATAAAAATGTTTTGAGTCTATTCTTAAAAACCGTTCCTTCCAAACACTCCAGATGGACCGATCTCGTCACGTGTGATGGCTTGTGTGCCACCCGGCTGAGCGTCTCTTTGCTTTAGGAGGTGTAGGAGTTTCTGTGGAAGCATATGGAGGGTCTTTAGCTCCATAAGGTGAAGGTGGAGGTCTGGTATGTGCCCTTTACTCTCTGATCTCTTTGAACCGCTTGTCTTTCAAGAAGATGGAAACTTTGCGTTGCTTGTTCAGTTTGACCTTTCATGCTGAGATTCTGAGAAGTACAAAGATGCTACAAAACAAATTTTTATGAAACTTTTAAACAGATTGGTTGTTTACTTCGAGAACGAAGGAAAAATGAGTTGGGAGAGTTGAGCTGTTTGATCTATTATTGGGTTTACTTTTGTGTTTTATTCCTCAGGAAAAAAGTATCTAAAGGTCAAAGTGTCAGAATCTCTTCCCTCTCGTCTCCAACTTTAATCTGCGACTTGTGACTCGTGCAGAGATTTGGCGTCTGTGGGATGCCATGTGTAAATTCTGTGTGTAAAAAGATGAACCACACAGCTTTTAGCTCATATTTCTAACATTTAACACATTTTCATCACATTTCAAAAGGAAATTTTACCAACATGTTTAAATTTTACATCATATTAGCTAATCTGGATGTTAAATTTAGATATATTTGTTAGATTTAGATTGAAACTTTTGGTTTGGATTTAATACTTAGGTTTGACATTTAGATTACTGTAGATTAGGGTTACAGTGAAACGTGGTGGTACATGACCATTATGAGGCAATTTACATTTTAAATGTGAGGAACGTGCTAAATATAAGAAACGTGAGCTAAATACCAGATCATGTGTTTCTTGCACCCACACACACACACACACACACACACACACACACACACACACACACACACACACACACGGAGCAATTTTGTGAGTTGACATATTTCCCAGAGTTAGACATGTGGGAATAAAACATTTGCAACCAGCCCAGTCATTCTGCTGTCCCGGCAATACTCCTTTAGCATTAGCTTAGCATAAAACACAGCAAGTGAATGGGACCAACCAGCTTTGTGAGTAAAAAAGTCCTTAAAATCACTCAGTAGTGATCCTAATTAATCTTGGTGACCTCAATAATCATCGACTGCATGTGACAATAAAAATGAACATGAAGGAATTACAGGCGACATTTTAGACTTGGCATTATTTTTTGACAAAACACAGCTATAAGCTGAGAATGCCTTCTCCGGGTCAGAGATGAGGTCCTGCCCCAAGTGGAGGAGTTTAAGTATCTCGGGGTCTTGTTCACGAGTGAGGGAAAACTGGAGCGTGAGATGGATAGGCGGATTGGTGCTGCATCTGCAGTGATGCGGGCGTTGTACCGGTCTGTCGTGGTGAAGAGAGAGCTGAGTCAGAAGGCGAAGCTCTCGATTTACCGGTCGATCTACGTTCCCACCCTCACCTATGGTCACGAGCTTTGGGTAGTGACCGAAAGAATGAGATCACGGATACAAGCGGCTGAAATGAGTTTTCTCCGAAGAGTGGCTGGGCTCTCCCTTAGAGATAGGGTGAGAAGCTCGGTCATCCGGGAGGGGCTCGGAGTAGACCCGCTGCTCCTCCACATCGAGAGGAGCCAGTTGAGGGGGCTTGGGCATCTGGTCAGGATGCCTCCTGGACGCCTCCCTGGTGAGGTTTTCCGGGCACGTCCAACCGGGAGGAGACCTAAAGGTAGACCCAGGACACAGTGGAGGGACTATGTCTCTCACCTGGCCAGGGAACGCCTTGGGATTCCCCCGGAGGAGCTGGCCCAAGTGGGTGGGGAGAGGGAAGTCTGGGCCTCTCGCCTTAGGCTACTGCCCCCGCGACCCGACTCCAGATAAGTGGATGGCTGGCTGGCTGGCTGGATGGATGGACGGATGGACAGCTTTAAGCTTATGCTAAAAGGTGCAAGTACACCTGCTTTTGTAAACACATCTGCGCGTTGCTTGCCAACCTCAAAGGCGAAGACAAATAACAGAGAAATAACAGTTTGAGTAGATTACATCTGTAAATGTACCAGCATCTAGTGTTGCCATGGCAACTAAAGTCCTCGCGCCTTTCGGCGGAAGCTTACAGCCGTACTTTTTCACAAAGCAGTCCCAAGTGTAAAATGTCAACTCTTAATTCCTGCATGTTTCTTTTTATTTTCGCACATTTTTTTCACAAGGCTAGTTGGTCCCATTCACTTACTGTGTTTAATGCTAAGCTAAAGCTAAAGGAGTGCTGCCGGGTCGGGAGAACGACTGGGCTGGTTAACAATAGTTTTCCTACTTATCTAACTCTGGGAAATATGTCAACAGATAAAATTTCCCTTTTGGGTTGAATATCCCTTTAACACCAAACTGTCATTTATTTGGTCCTTCTCACTGATAATGTACACAGGTCACCGTTAGCTTTTCGTAGACCAGCTAGCTTACAACATCATTAACTAGTTCGGTTCTTTGCTCATGACTAGTCTCTGAAATGATTCCACAACCTGCGACGGAACCTCAGGAGAGCTTAACAGATCAACAGAAAGCTAGATTCAGCATATTTCACGACAGGTTGAGAGAATACACTTGTGTTCACGAGGGCTGCGTTCCACTCCTGCAGCAACAATTAAACCGCTCAGAACATCTTCTAAATGGACTGCAGCCATTGTTGCTACCCGAGCAGTCTTAAGAAACCCTGTTTTCTGTTTTCTTTGGAACAAATATTCACCAAATGAAGTCTGACTCGACACGTTTTGCTTTGATTTCTGTTTCTTTCGGCTGTTTGTGTTAATTTTTGTCTGCGGCATTAAATAGATTTGCCTAAGCTAAGAACAATGACAGCGGATCGGGGTAAACGGACACTGTGCCATCATTCTGATTTGACTAAAGCGTAACTGTTGACTTGAGGCTTTTCTTTCCTCTGCAGCCTTGAAGCAGCTCTTATTGTGCCCCCCCCCATTCTCTCTTCTCACACACCCTCCCTGCTGAGTGCACCACTCATAAGTCTGTGCTCGTGTTTGCACCTCTCGTGTGAATATGGATCACCTGAGACGCTTCAAACCAAAGCAAAGGCGGCGTTTTAACCCTGACGCGTTGTGATTGTGTGTTGCAGTTGGAGCAGATAAGCAGTGTGAGCTGACCTGCAGACCCGCCGGGTATCGGTTTTACGTCCGTCTGGCCGAGCGTGTCAGAGACGGGACGCCTTGCTTCAACGTCAGCACCAACGACGTGTGCGTAGAAGGACGATGTCTGGTGAGTTCATCTGAACATTCGTGTGTGGGGCGTCTGAACGTGAGACCCGACTGTCTAGAAGGACTTGACATAAACCAGAATGCTGGCTCTCTTTTGTCCCACATCTGGAGGCTGATTTAAAGCTGCCATTCAGACTGACTTGGCCCTCCTCTGGGCCCCTTCTCTGTGTCCTCTCTCTTATTTACACCCCCGCTCCACCCCTCTGCTCCTGGCAGGAATCTTGCAAGCACCAGTTACCAATTTGCACATGAAAGAAGGAGACAAACACGGGTCTAGCATGTGAAATCTCAACAGGACTCGGTTCCTCCGCTGTCCCCTCACGTCCTCTCATCCTTTTCTCCTCTCAGACGGAGGGATGTGATGGAGTGCTGGGCTCCAGCGCTGCGATTGATAAGTGTGGAGTGTGCGGTGGGCGGGACACCTCCTGTCAGAAGGTGGCAGGAAGCTTCCAGAACGTCACGGTTCCCCTCGGTTACCACAAGATCCTGGACATCCCAGCCGGAGCCACCTTCATCAACGTCACGGAGCGGCGAGCTAGCCCTAACTACCTGGGTGAGGCGGAGCCGACAGACACAAACTCACACTCTAGTGCAGCTCCAGATTTAACGCCGCCCCAGTAGGAATGAGATGTTGGTGATGGAAGTGTAGATCTGGCCACCGATCGCGTGTGTCCTGGCTTCGGCTGCAGGGTTTTTTTCTTTTCATCTAGAAAATTTAAAGCAGATAGTGTGTATTTTTAGAGCCCATAAGGAATCAGTGGAGTGTGTGCATGTGTGAGTGTTTGCCTCGCCCACCTCCTGTTTGCTAATAAAACTAAACTCCAGAGTCTGTTTGTCTGTCTGGGGGTGCGTCGGAGCAGATCAGGGGGGGGGGGGGGGGGGGGGTTGGGGGTCCTACAAACCGGCCAGACCAAACAGGATTTTAAGCACCAAAAGAAAAATTTCACTCTTATTTATTAATTTTTTTTACATTCTCACTCCTGCTTCTGTTTCTCCAGCGATAAGGAGCGGCACTGGGGTGTCGGTGGTGAACGGACGCTGGGCTGTGGACCCTCCTGGAGAGTACCAGGCAGGGGGCACTACGTTCACCTACACCCGACCCAGAGCACAGTCAGAGGGGGAGGACGAGAGAGGCGAGTCCCTGAGGGCACGGGGACCCACCACGACACAGCTCCAGCTTTATGTAAGTCCTTCAGCGTAGGGAGGTACCGTATTTTTTCATAGTCTAGCTGGTCCTGCGACTTATACACCAAGTTATGTATACCGCGCTGCTGCAGACCGGCTCCGGACCAGGAATGAGCTCCTCTGCCCCACCATCACCTGCTGCAGCCTGTGGCGGGGTGCTGCGGGCCAGCTCCGGCCCAGGAATGAGCACTCCCCGCCCGCTGGGTGGGTTTGAAACACCGTCATCCTCTGCTGGAGACCGTGGCGCGCTGCTGCGCCCTGGTTGTTTATTCTGTTATTGTTACCGGTTCTTGTCTTGCAATGCGAAACGCTTCACCTCAGATTTTGTGAGAAAAATAATAAAATTTCCCCCCCAAATGCAACTCATATATGTTTTTTTCTTCTTCATCATACATTCTATGGCTGGTGTGACTTCTTCTCTAGAAAATACGGTATTTATTTCAGCGCTGTGAGCGAACCGGAGGATGGCAGTAATAAAGATCATGATCAGCTGCAATAACTGGGGTTCAGAAGGGCCGAGAGCAATTCAGATCATCATCCGTTGACATTAGCGAGCAGTGGAAAGCATGCAACGTGCTCCTTCTGCAGTAAAGTCGGACCCTAGATCTGCATCTCCTAATCACAAGTGCAGTAATTCACTTGTTGCACCAGAGTCAAAGTTTGGATACGTGGAGATAATAACAACACCACACTCTCCAAGCTCAGATATGCAGTTTCTGTGTCATCTGGTCAGTTTTGTTCTTGTGTTTCAACGTGAGTTTAGTCAGTTTGGTCGTAATTCTGATTACGTCCCACTGTTGTCCCTTTTAAAGGACTGATTCTAACGGGTCACCCTGAGTGTTTCATGCAGGCAGAGCAGGAAAATAGTCTCCTACACCTATCTCCTGCAGCAGCTTCTGATAGAAAACAGACGGTGAAACTCTAGGATTAGAAAAGCCTGACAGATCTACGTCACACTGTCACTGACATTCATGGACTCGCCCATCTGGAAGGCTGTTGTTAGTTTAGCGTCCAGGAAACAGCAGAGAACGTTAACGGTTAACATTAGCATGTGCACCACACAGCAGAACTCCTCCAGACTTGTGTTATCTGTGGACATAACGTTGCAGCGCGAACAGAGTCGGTGGTAGTGTGTGTGTCGTCCGCCTGTCTGCCTTTAACAGTGTTGCTAAGTTTTGCCACAAACAAATGCTTTTAGGGAAAACAAGCCAATGAGAAGAGGCGCTGGAGCGGAAGTAAAGATCTCGCTGCAGCTTGGCGTCTTTCATCTCCAAGAGAATCCCTCACAGACTCACGCTCACACAGAAAATCTGAAATGTCCATGTCGTCGTTCTTAGCTGCAGGCTGTGCTCCTCCGCTTTGCGCCGAGAGCTTTTAAACTCAGAGACTTGTTTTAGCATCACGCCGAGACGAAGACAGCTAAAACCTTAGCCTGGGCCAGGCTGGGTTAGCACAGACGGACACCAGGCTACGTTGTTTACTGGTTGCTAAATAAGATTAGGTGACTGAATTAGCTGCTGAAGA